ACCATTGTCCCCAATGGGAAAGACTTTGTTGACATCATCCTCTCCCGTACACAAAGGCAGACTCCAACTGTTGTTCACAAGGGCTATGCAATATCTCGTATCCGTCAGTTTTACATGCGCAAAGTGAAATATACACAGTCAAACTTCCATGACAAACTCTCCACTATTATTGAGGAATTCCCCAGGCTTGATGATATCCATCCTTTCTACGGTGACCTCCTCCATGTCCTTTATAACAAAGACCATTACAAGCTTGCACTTGGCCAAATAAACACAGCAAGGAACTTAATTTCCAAGATCGCAAAGGATTACGTCAAAATGTTGAAGTATGGTGATTCACTATATCGATGCAAATCTTTGAAGATTGCTGCCCTGGGACGAATGTGTACCGTGATAAAGCGAATCACACCCAGTCTGGCATATCTTGAGCAAATTAGGCAGCACATGGCTAGGTTGCCTTCGATCGATCCAAACACTAGGACACTCTTGATTTGTGGGTACCCTAATGTCGGTAAGAGCTCTTTCATAAACAAAATTACAAGAGCAGATGTTGACGTGCAACCTTATGCGTTCACCACAAAGTCCTTGTTTGTGGGTCACACTGACTACAAATACCTTAGGTATCAAGTCATCGACACTCCGGGAATATTGGACAGACCATTTGAGGACCGTAATATCATAGAGATGTGCAGTATTACAGCCTTAGCCCATCTTAGAGCTGCGGTTTTATTTTTCCTAGATATATCAGGATCTTGTGGTTATAGTATTGAACAGCAATCTGCTTTGTTCCACAGTATAAAGTCTCTCTTTATGAACAAGCCCTTGGTCATAGTTTGCAACAAAACTGATTTGCAGCCTTTGGATGGGATATCAGAGGAAGACAAGAAGTTAGTCATGCAGATGAAAGAAGAAGCTATGAAGACTGTCATTGGACAAGGTGGGGAGGCCACAGATGACCAAGGTGTGCTTTTGACTATGAGTGCTTTAACTGAAGAAGGTGTGATTTCCGTGAAGAATGCTGCTTGTGAGAGGCTGTTGAACCAAAGGGTTGAAGTCAAGATGAAGTCTAAGAAGCTAAATGACTGCTTAAACCGTTTTCACGTCGCCATGCCGAAACCACGTGACCAGAAGGAAAGGCCTGTGTGCATACCTCAGGCAGTGCTGGAAGCGAGAGCAAAGAAAGCAGTAGAAGTTGCAGAGAAAGAGAAGAAGAAGCTTGAGAGGGATCTTGAGAATGAGAATGGAGGTGCAGGTGTCTACTCTGCCAAATTGAGTAAGCACTATATCTTGGCGGATGATTCTTGGAAAGATGATGTCATGCCAGAGATTCTCGACGGGCACAATGTGTTTGACTTCATCGATCCTGACATCTTGCAACGGCTTGAGGAGTTGGAGAAAGAAGAAGGGCTTCGGCAAGAACAAGGAGATGAAGGTGACTTGGAGATGGAAGGTGGGCCTGAGCTGACCCCTGAAGAAAAAGCCGCTTTGGCTGAGATCAGGAAAAAGAAGAGTGCGCTGATCCAGCAGCACCGTATTAAGAAAAGTACGGCCGAAAGCCGACCAATCGTTCCAAGGAAGTTCGATAAGGACAAAAAATATACATCAGAGAGGATGGGCAGGCAGTTGTCCGGGCTGGGACTGGATCCAACCCTTGCGGTCAACCGGGCACGCAGTAAGTCAAGGGGACGTAAGAGGGAACGATCCGTATCTGGCATGGGCGACTCGATGGATGTTGATGGTGATGAGGAGACTCCTAACAAGAAGTTGAAGTTAATGCTGTCTAGGTCCAGGTCAAGGTCAAAGTCAAGGATTCCAAATGAATTGGTGCCTGGTGAAGGATTCAAAGACTCTGCACAAAAGTCCAAGGCTATTGATTTGGCTAAGAGCTCTTTCAAGGTGAGGAACAAGGCAGCTTGCAAGGGTGAAGGTGATAGAACTATTCCTAATCTGAAACCGAAACACTTGTTTTCTGGCAAGCGTTCTAATGGAAAAACACAAAGGCGTTAAGGTATGTTGCTGTCTTTCATATCTCGTTATCATGTTCAAGTGTGTGTAATCTCAATCATTTGAGTCTTTATTGTAGGGTAATGTTATGATGATTCAGTGTTCTTTTTGGTCATAAATAGACTACTAAATTATGTAATTGACAAAGTCCAGCATCATATGAATCTTTAAATTTAACTTGTCCTTACACTAGAAATTATCTTTGCAGGTATACGAGGTTCTGATGAAGTTGTGCAAATTTTTGGAGTGTTGTGTATCTCAGCTTGTTGTTCTGGGGAGTCGGATTGGATCCACCAAATACTCCTCTCTTTTTGGTCTTGCAAGTTGTTTAGTGTTGCTTCTTATGTTTATGTTTTTTGTCGCTCCATATAATGTTTATTTTGTTATGTTCTCAAGGGATTAAGTTTTTACCTATTTCTATTTTGACTGGTGCCGTTTATTGAAAGAATGGGTGAATGACACAGATGTGATATTTAAAGTTTAATTAAATACACAAATATGATACCTATCCAACAACACAGTGACTATATAACTTAGCTCGATCTATTAAATTTCTATCTGCTAAGGCCCAAGCCCTAGTAGGGATAGCCGGATAGGTATCAAAAGACTCAAAACTCATCTATTTACGTCTTAAGCCAATTTCTCTTTCATGTGGTAGGGTGTTGTTGATAATAAAAAATGTTTTACAAATGAACACTTCAGTCACTTTGGAGCTAAAATATGTAAATGGCTCACATCTCATTTGTAACGCAACAAAGTCCTAACATATTGCATTACATGAGACAACGTTTTCATGTATTATTTGTAGAAAAAGAAACTATCCTGAGAAGCTTTTTCCAAAACAAGTTTCGTGTAGTACTTCTATAACACTACACTAGCTAGAAATTTTAGCAAATTTGAAGGTTTTTTATAAGTCAAATGTTGAAGTTGCATTAAGCTCAAGGGGCATCCAAATTTTGTGAGGGAGGATTTAAGTAACGTGTGCAATTATTTTTCATGTGCGTTGCCGATAATTCACCAGTCGGGTTGGACATCGAGCATGTGCGAAGTCAAGACATCGGATCAGACTAGGTCAGTACAAAGAATATTTTTAGAAAACCTTTTCATAGGAAATTTTTTACCCTAAAAGTTGTTTTAAGTTTGGAGTGAGTTGGGACCTAAGTTGACCCTCTCTATCTGCCCATGATTTCGAGTACGGGTGGGTGTACCTGTCCGCTTGGTATGCATACAAAATGCATGTATATTCAGTTTAAAGCCCAAATGACCATTTGCATGCAAAAATGCATAATTAGTGTTTCCTAACAAATAACTATACTTGTTATATTTGAATGTCACTCCATGCAAAATGCATTTTTTATCTATACGCTGGCTTCATCTCAGTTCTGAAACTCATGCATCCCACATTGCATTGATATTTACTCCCTCCGTTTCACAATCATAGTACCTCTTAATTTATATTTTTTTGAAAGGGCCGGGGTTCTTTATATTTTTCATAGGAAATAATTACATTTTTATGACTAAAATATTGTTAACAAAAATATGACCTCGTGTAGTATATAATATTAACTTCAGTCATATGTTCAATTTTTACACCTAAGTGACCAATTGACCATGATACTACTCATAGTAACTCTAGTCATTTCTTTATATATAAAGTTTATTTCAGCAATACTTTTGAGAAAAATCTCTTTTTATGTATCAATTGTGTTGCATGAGTATCAATCTTTTAAGGAGTTGATTGTATGGAACATGGTCCATCATATTTGGGGCCTGGGGGTCTCCAAATAAGTAGTCTATCATAGTTTTTTGAAAGGAAAACATCACTATAGTTTTCCAAAAAACTCCATCTGCACTCACTAAAAGCCCTACAATATGAGATGGGGTCACCTCTAAAGAAGTGATGCGAATCGATGACCACCAAACTAACTTAGTTCATAATAGTTTCCAAATATCCAATAATAACATTGACAAGGGCCTCCAGATATTCAATAAAAAAACGTACTCCGAGTTATAAGAGATTATGTTTTATTGTCTTAAGTCAAAACAAATATAAATTTATTTGACTTTAACCCGGCCCTATACATTGCAGATCAATAGCACACATTATGGGAAAATACTAAATGTTTTCTACTCCTGCAAATTGATGCGAGGAGTTATATATTGTAAGTTTACTAATTGTAAATTTCATCTTCAAGGTTGAGATGGTAAACGATCTTAATTTATTGGGAAATTTCCTAAATATGAGTAAAAACGCCTTGTAATTTTAAAATATATAAGACTAACATGTTTTTACATTTTAAATAAGAGTAATTACTAAATTGCTTAGAAAATACCGTCGATAATGCCATAATACGGTAGTAAGCCCATAATTACTCAGATTTTAGAAACCAAAACATATTAGTCATATTTTGGAATTTACAAAGTGTTTACTACTATTAAGAACAATTTTAATGTATTGTATACAAATGTAGTTTCTGTGATCGAGTTAATAATAGTTTTTGACAGAAATTACCCTTAATAGAACAAAAAACGTCTGTATATTCCAAAATAAGACTATCATATTTTTATTTCCAAAATAGGACCAATTACTGCCATGTTTTGACAGTATCAGATTTCAAACATGGCGGTAGTTTCCAAATTTGACAGTAATTACTCATATTTTGAGAAGATATTACCCAAAATAGGACTAAAAATGTTTGAAATTCCAAAATAGGACTTCAATGTTTTTATTCCTAAAATAGGACTAATTACTGTCATGTTTTGGCAGTACCAGACTTCAAACATGACAGTATTTTCCAAACTTGACAGTAATTACTCCTATTTTGGGAATAAAAAACATTACAGTCCTATTTTGGAATTTCCAAACTGTTTTTCGGGAACTTTCCCTATTTGGAGAATAAAAACATGACAACTCAATTTTGGAATTTCCTAACTTTTGTACTCCTTTTCAGGAATTTTCGGATATGAATATTGACAAGCTAGAAAGAGTTACGGAGTATATTTTAAGTTCCACATTGAAGTTCCAACACTGGTTATAAATTTACATGCTATAAAAGGGACGCGATGGATGATGAAGTAAAAAAGCATAAGCCACATATACCCAAATCCAATCTTAGGAAAATCATACGGAGTATATTCCAATATGAACAACTCGACTCTGGCTAACTCATCATGTCCCCTCTTGTACTGGGCCACATAGCTAATTTCTCTTTTCTTTTCTACTTCTTTCCATAGTTCTCTCTCTAAATATATATATGTGTGTGTGTTTAATTGTGAATAACATAAGATGTGATATATGTACTTAATTTGTAGCTAAAAATAGAATTCAGAGTGTTTTTTTTTTTTTTAAATAGAATGGAAGTATATTATACTGATCAGCATAATGTTTGTAGTACTCCGTATGTACAAAGCCGGCTATGGGGGCAAGGCAAATAGGCATATGCCTAGGGCCACATCTCTAGCTGGGGCACCAAATTTTAAAAATACTCAGTAGCTATTAATATTATAAGTATGTAGTGTGAATGAACGTAATTTATCACACCAACTACAACAAAAAAGAAGAAATACTTTACCACTACAGAAAATGTGTGTGACGGGGTGTGTAGCTCATTTATAAAAATCATTGCACAACAATCCTACAAATAGAAAGTATTACGTAATACTTACTTCACACTCTAAAATTATGGTTGTTTCTTCCTCACTTGTCACTATATTACACAAAGAGAACAAAATCAATTGTTTCTTTGATATTTATTTAGTGATTTTGTAGACATGCCACCAAGGCATGCATGCAACCGTCACGAAATTCAAAATTGCTAGAAAACTCAATGTGTTTTAGTGTTTCCATATAAAATATTATTTCATATTATTTAATAAGAGGCACTATTTTATAGTCAATTTAGTTTCAAGTCAATTGAGAAATTCGTATAATAATTTTTAAATTTGTGTCTTAAGTGTGTCACAACATTTTTCTTCTAGTATTTTTTCTAAAATTTATTCATTAAAAAATAATTAAAAATACGGAGTATGTTTCTAACGTATGCAATATTAAAAATATATTAAATAGATTGTAATATAGTTAATTATATTTTTATGCTAATTTTTTATGATATAGTTTTTAATCTATGAGAGGCAAACAAAAGTGAAACTCGGTTTTTTTTAGATAAAGCTAAACAAACTAATTAACCAAGCTATACAATATTTGGTAAGTTCTATGGATGGATAGATATGTAAAACAAATCTCCTTAAATTTGTACTACCAATATAGATAATTAGATATGTTTCAGAATTTTATTACAATATTTAATTTTTAATTATTGATCCTTTAATTCATGTATTTAGCGGCACTAGTGTGTTTATTTTCTTTAGCCAATACTCCAAATATGATTTGCTATGTATAAATATGAATGTTACTCACTAATATAATAGTCTGATTTTAGTTTTCGTCTGGGGCATCAAAAATCCTAAAGACGACCCTGCGTATGTATATATCAATGTATCAAAAATCCTAAAGACGACCCTGCGTATGTATATATCAATGTGTTTGCTGTTATGATAAGTTATATTGTTCTGAGCTAAAAATAGAACTCCGTTTTTTATTTTTTCAGAAAAATAATGATTGTTTAATTTCAAGAATTGAAATGTTGTAGCTAGTAGTGATGCACATTGATTAAGTTTTAATTCATTTTCATGTTGAATTTAGGGGAGACAAGAACATCATCAAGGGATTGAAATACAAATGGTTAGACCAGAACATTTTTGTTGATGTTGATACTTGGATCTATCCCCATGTAGCTATTCCAAAATATCCCTCAACAGAATTAAGTCGGTGAGATACATAATTTTATACTCCGTTCAAATTTTGAAGTTTGTGTATCCATTAATAATTACTCATATATATTTATGATTCAAGTAAAGTTTGTTTATAAAAATGTAATTAAGTGACCAGAGTGTGTAGTGATGGAATTATAGTAATTTGTGTTCCCGATCAAATTTTTAATTTAGGTTACCATGACAATGCATTGTAATAACTATGAGTCATATTTGTGCAAATAAATCTTATTTTAGTAGTAGTTTTAAAAAATCCCTTAATTTAATGAGAGCATTATTGATATAAGATTACAAACATCTTGAAATTCCAAAATAGGCCGGAGTAAAATAATTTTATTTCTTAAATATGAGTAATTTACTACTACTAAATGCAGAAAATACTGTTATTTTTAAAGTTTGATAATGTCAAAATATCGAAGTAATTATTTCTAAGCAAATGAACAGATAATAACCCTATTTTGGAACTCACAGACGTTTTTACTCCCAACTAGAGCAATATTTTTTTGAATGAAAATAGCTTATATTAAAATCAAACGAACCAAAGTAACAAAGCATGTCCCAAGACCTCTCCAAACAAAACCAAAAACCCATCAATCCTCTCACGTCATGATCAGACATAGAATAGTTTACCCCGGATAGAGGGAGACTAATTGCTGAAACAATGTGAACAAAGAGGGTATTAGCGGCTGGGTCAGCCTGATTGCCTCCCATCAGAAACCTATCTAATGAAATAAACCAAGCAAAACCCCTACCCCCTTAGTGTGCGAAATAACAATAACAAGAAGGTTCATAAAAAACAACTCACAAAGAGTAAAACAGGATAAAATAAAATAAACTTATGGAGCAATCGAATCCATACTTCAAGCATCATACTCCATGGCGGCGGTTCAGCAGGGGGCGGGTAACCAAAAGTTGTGGACTAAAATAATGATTTCCCCAGCAACAATTCGATCAACATATACTCATAAATGATAAAAGTAATGAAGCCAAGCCTCCATTCCCTTAATATTTTTTTTCGTAAATCATGGTGTCTAACATTAAAGGTCTAGCCCTGTCACTAACTTGCAGGCTTGTGAAAAAAGTTGTGATGGAGGGGTCATTTACCACACTTCTACAAATAGCTAGGGCTGTTGCAAGAAGTGCACTGAGTGAGAATGACTATATATCTGCGGTTAGTGTATCTGTGAAGGTTGAAAACCCTAAGGAAGCAGAAGCTGATTCCACTGATTTTTGGGGAGCTGACGTTTTTCGCTTCAAGGGAAACGACAACATATGATTTATACATGCATGAAATTAAAATTAAAAGAATGTACTTTAATTCGCCAGAGGGCATGGGTGCTGGAACTATTCAATAAATAAATAAATAAATAAATGAAACTTATTATGACACAACTTATATATGTAAATAAGATGTCAATTAAAAGACCATTTGCCAATTGGCTTAGAATGAAATGTGGTGGAGTAGCATAATTAATTTCACAACCGAATTTAGAATTAGCCGCATCAACATTAATATTGATTTATTACTTCTCTGATTTCTTCCATCTAACCTCCTGTTGTTGATCAGCTGCACCCTCAATCTTAAAATTGAAATTCTCATTTACATTAAAATCGTAAGCTTGCTTTATGAGTTCCTAGATTTAAAAAATCTTTATATATAGTATGCACCTCAAAACTCCAGAAGGAGTTTAAGTGTACACTTGATAAAAGATAAGGATGCGTTAGGTGGAACGTAACAGATAACTCGGAACTTCACAAAAAGTAAATTTAAAAGAAGTTATAGAAAAGATAGATTCAATATGAACTATCTACCTCGCAAAAAAAAAAAGAACTAACTCAATAGATTAAGTCTAGATTAAAATCAAAATTCTCATTTAGACTAAAATCGTTAACTCATTTTTTGAGTTCCTAGATTTAAAAAACCCATATAGTATATACCTCGGAACTCCACAAGGAGTTTACGTGTACCGGTGTACGCTTGATAAAAAATAAAGATGAGTTAGGTGGAACGCAACAGATACTTCGGAACTCCACAAAACAACAAATTTAAAGAAGTTATAGAAAAGTTAGATTAAATATGAACTATCTCGATAGATTAAGACTAGATTAAAATCAAAATTCTCATTTAGACTAAAATTGTTAACTCATATTTTGAGTTTCTAGTAGTGGCGGACCCTGAAAATTAGAACCATGGAGTCTCTATTCTAATATAACTCTAATTAATAAAAAACTTAATGAAAAAGAAGTAAAATATTAAAGTAGCATTACATTTCATAGTTAATGTAAATCATCAAAATATTAAGATAGTCATAACGCAAAAATGTTAAGATTTAATGTTTGAATTTCTTACACTTATATTTAATTGGCTGCACCAATTTTTTTTGAGCGTTTTCTATAAACTTATTCTTTAGAAAAATAAGTTAATCTTACTTTAACATAAAAGATATGTAAAATTTGTGTATTGCTACAATTAGTTTTCGTTTTTATATTACACTACGGGGTAGTTGGTTTCCATTTATGTAAATATAAAGATAAATGAATTGAATGACATGGTTGCTTAAAATAAGATAACTTGTTAATCTAACATAAATATCAAAATAAAATTATTGCTTAGAAATTTCTTTTATTATTGATTTATACAACAATTTTAAAGATATTCCAAAAATTTTTACGAAATGTCCACTATCAACAAAATTTTAAAAAGTTAATGTCCTCTATCAACTAAAATTAATGGGATTGCATATGAGAAATCAAAATTAAAAAGTCCCTTAAAATTTCAATCCAATTAGTTCACATGATTTTATTTAGAATATTATTTAAAATATATTCATTAGCTTTGGTTCTATTTTCATTTAATACAAGTACCAATATAATGGTGTAGGTTTAAGGATTATGTTATTGAACTGGTTTCAGTCTTAAACCAGGCCAAACCAGGTCAAATTATGAGATACTGACTCAATCGATTGAATCTGCTATATTATGAAAGAATTATATTTCAGATATATGTTATAAGTAAAATATGGGAACAAATCGTATGAAAAAGTAGCTAAAATGATGCTCTATGGTAACTTAAGAGAGTGTTTGCAACTGCTTCTGCTTAAAAAAAAACATTTTTTTTGGAAAAAGTGATTGTAGTCAAAGTTGATAGTGTTTGAGAAAAAAGTGATTATGAAAAGTAAAAGTTGGTAGTGTTTCGTAAAATAAGTGCTTTTTGTGTAATAGAAAAAGTAAAAGCACTTTTGACATGAAAGTCGAGAAAAATAAAAGTTGGTGGTATTTGGTAAAATAAATGCTTTTTTAAGTCAAAAGCAGAAAAGTGTTTTTTTTAAAGCAGTTGCAAACCAACCCTAAGTCATCTAGCTAAAAAAGTAATTCAAACTTTATTTATTTTGATTATTATACAATTAATTGCGCGAAATCAAGAATTACATATTTAAAAAATTGGTTGATAAGTTAAATAAACTGAAATTTGGGACTACAAAGTGACTTTGTATTTTTATTAAAAAAGTGCTTAAGTTGTCTAACAAAATATTTAGGTTTAATCAAATTAAAAAAAGTAAAACATTTAAATTTTGGGCAATAAAAGGTGCATGATTTGATAACGAGCACCTCCGCATATTTTTTTCCAAGGCCAGGTTGATCCGTAAGTTCTTTCAAAAAGAAAGACATTATATGGGAGTCGATCCCTGCACCTCCACTAGGAAAATAGTTTAAGAGCATGTCAACTACCAAATACTCAAGTTCAATTCTTGAGATATGATTCAGTTTTTGTATAATGTATACACTCATTAATTAATTTTAGATACATACATATAGGTATTTTTGGAGGTACATGGGGTCCCAGGACTCTGTGGGACTCTTAGTGGGTCTGCCAATGGTTCCTAGATTTAAAAAATCCATATTGTATATACATCGGAACTCCACAAAGAATTTACGTGTACGCTTGATAAAAGATAAGGATGAGTTAGGTGGAACGTAACAGATACCTTGAAGACTGTCCCTACATTTTATTTTATAAATAGATGGACTATTGTTCCTTCTTCCTAATTGCTAAAAGAACAATCTTAGACTACCCACACCCTTCTTTTTTTAAAAGACCAACAGTAGGAAAAGTGCCACTAGCAAATTGCCAAAAAAACAACTTTATTTTAGGTGAAATTTGAAATCTCCCATCCAACTGGTACAAAACGGTGGTTGGATTTCTCCTACTAGCCTCTTATAGTAACTCCGAATTGAAAAATTGTCTTTGGCCTTATCGTTCCAGCGACAACTATATCCCACTTGATATAATTTCAATGGAACAACAAAATAGTATTGCAACCACTTCCTCTATGAACAACAAATCAAAACATTGAACATTCCAACTTTTGCCATCCTCATTTAATAGAGCTTCTACATTCATATTGTGATGTACTCCAATCTGGACGGACACAAAGCACCCTACCCGACCCCATCCCAGGAGGCCAAGAATCCCTCCACAATGAAATGTCTCTACTATTTCCTGCCCTCCGGCCATTACCTACAAATACAATAACAGTTTATTCAACCATTAATAAAGTCCTCCAAACAAAGGAAAAGTTATTCACAATCTTTGCCTAATCAATGTACTTGGCTCAAATAAAAGTATCAATCATTCTTTTCCCAATATAGCTATATTAAATTCTTTCTACCTTTTAAATCAAAGCCTTTCACAAGCTTTTGGGATGCATAACACTCTCCAACCTTCACTCTCCAACCTTTCCATCGGATGCCTCTAAGGCTCTAATGTGAAATCATTGCCTCTCAGCTCAACGTGTACCTGTAGGTTCATAAGGCACTCGATCTCAATAATAAAATATCGGGTAGTAGAAACATGTTTATAACATATGTGGACATAACATGGATAACCACCACCACAACAACAACACTCTAGTGCCACAAAGGCTCCCACCTAAAATGGGGTAAGGGGGGTCGTACTCAACCTTACCTCTGTACTAAAGCACAAAGAGATTGTTTGCGTATGACTCATGATTGTAAACAACTTGGATAACTGTCTTGAATAAAATTTCTCTACTTGCTTTAGAAATAAACCAATTGATATATAACAGGGGTATCCAAACATATAATTAATAAACGGAGAGATTGAACAAAGAAGGGAAGAAGATGATGAATAGTAGAAAATTATATGTTTTTTAACCCGGTAGGTAAACCACCAAAATCAGTGGGGTAGAAGCCCGTGAACATCTACAAGGTATTATTAATCTAGAAAAAAAACAATACAAGCGAAGAGGGGGACCAGACCAAAACCTCTTCACAAGAAAATTAACTAAAATAAGGCAAATCCATCAAGTCTGTAATTGAAGTTTTTTTGATAATGTGAGGAACCTCATTCTCATCAAAATAGGAAATAAGATGACTTTGTGCCAGTAAACGGGCAGTCATATTAGCTTCTCTTAAAATATGACGAATCCCACCCGCTACCTGAATAAGATCTGGTGAATCCATTACTACTTTCGAAATTAGATTATCTTGATATAGATGAACAACCCTTGTGTTATATTTTCGTTTCAGAGTGTTGGACCAGTCTTGTGTGAACACTTTAACCTGATAGATAATGGATTCAACAGTGGGATAGGAGTTAGAAGACCCCCAAATTAATTTTGCATAATTTTTCCAAATATGCCATAAAATTATTCCTGGCATATTTGCCTGAAAAATTCCAATCCAAGAATGATTTGTTGCCTTGATCCACCACCAAAGTAGCATTTGTCTTAGTGAACTAGGATCTCCTCTGTAAGATGTCTCAAGAATACCCATAAAATAGTGCTAGACTTCCTTTGTAACAGGACAGAAGTAAAATATATGGTCAATGGATTCTGAGTTTTTCCTACAAAAAGGGCACAAAGAGGGGTAAATGTCTATGTTAAACCTGAGAAGATTCTCTGCAACTGGGATCATATTATTGATTAGCTTCCACTGAAAGAATTTAATTGGCAGAGTCTGATTTTTGTTCCATATGCAGCGTGATGATAAAGTTTCAGACTTCCTCCATCTAATTTCATGGAATGCAGAAGATAAGTAGAAATGGCCATGCTTCTCTGGCAGCCAGATGAGATTTCCACTATCATCCATTTAAGATAAATCTTCTGCCCTATTGTGAATGTGACAGTGTTCTCCATATGCATGAGTCTGTGACATTGGGATTCATGTTTCCATTCCTTGGGTACTCATGTAACACCCGACCCGAATTTTACCTAGATAAATTTTTTTCGTAAAGTACGGAGTTAAAGAAAGTAAATCAAAACTAAGAATAGTCCTGTTTGATGAGAAAGATAAAATTCTGTCTTAAATTAATAAAAGATTATTAATCATACGTGGGACCCACGTAGAGGAGTAGGTGTAAAACCACCTCCGAAAATGTTCACTTATAACGTTGGGTGAATTAGACTTGACACCTTGATAAAAGGTGCGGTGAATTTATTTTTAATGATTAACATTTATCGTGTAGTAAAACTACACGT